CCCCCCCGCCCCCCCCCCCCCCCCCCCCCCCCCCCCCCCCCCACCCGGCCTCAGCCCCCCGGCGCCCCCCCCCCCCCCCCTCCCCCTCCCGCCCCCCTCCCCCTCCTCACCAGCCCTGCCACACTCACCCTGGTGGCCCCATCAGTCCAGCTGGCTCAAGGTAACCTCCTGCACATGGGGCTTCCGGAAGGGCCACCTCGGCGGCCCACACCCTGGGGCCTCCTCCACCCCCGCTTGCTCCCCGGCAGCTGCCCCCTCACCTCGAAGCCCCCGATGACCAGCAGGGCGTGGATGTTGTGAATGCGGACGTTTTCCACAATTTTCTCCATGTAGCCCTTGGGCAGTGTCCTGCAGTGGGAGATAAATGAGATGGACGTGCTGCATCTGTACAGAACGCCAGGCTGGAAGGACCCACGTCTGCACCGTGCCTGACCTCGGGAGAAGGCAGGCCTGGGGCGTGGCGGTGGGATTCCCAATTAGAGGTGGACGCAAAGGTGAGGCACCCGGGGGCGGCAGGGCCCACCAGCGGCCTGGCGCCTATTCAACGCCCTTGCTGGGCACTGGCCACTGCCCTCCCGACAGCCTGGCTGTGAGCCTCACTTCCTGCCCGAGGAGGTCCCTTCTGTAGGTGCGGAGCCGCCCGAGCAGCCTTCCTCTACACAGGTGACTTCAAGTGAGCTCTTGGCCAGGAAGCCCCAGGCAGGAGGGTCTGTGTCCCACTCTGGACAGGCCACCAGCCAGAGGAGACCTAGCCCGGGGCCACGGGGCTGGTTTCGCCTGCATCCCACCCCCCTGCTGCCCTCGGCAGCCAGGTGCTCACCTCTTGGTCCCCAGCATGGAGCCACCGCGCCCCAGCCAGCCAGCCACGTCATGCCAGCCCACTTCTTGCACCTGCAGGGCGAGGCGCGGCTTCAGGGGGGGCAGGCCAGGGGTGCTGGCCCACCCCTCCTCAGGTGATGGACCTGTCCTCGGGGAGCGCACGTCCTCGGGGGAGGGGGGACAGAGGCCGTGCCTGGCACTGACCGTCCTACCACAGGTCAGAGCGGGGTCTCGGGGCCTGGGCCGGGCTAAAGTGGACCCAGGTGCTCCCCCTCCACCCCAAGGAGAGGACCTGGCCTGGCCCTTATACCCACATGGCGAGCCCCTTGGTCCTTGTTTGCTCGTAAGCAAGCCGGGGACACGTCCTAAACTGACCAAAGACACACGGGCCCACCCCCGCAGGCCCCGCCCCCCACCCGGCCTCAGGCACGGCCTCACCTACCTGCCCCTTGGCCAGGCCTTCAAAGCCGTCGTGCACGACGTACACCGTGTGGCCCTGGGAGATGCCGGTACGCACCGCCGAGCGCACGGCCGCGTTCATGCCAGCCGCTGGGGCCCCCACGTTCAGGACGGCCAGGGAGAAGCTGGTCTTCAGAGAAGGTGGGGAGACAAGAGCATGAGCCCCAGCGCGGGGCGGGGGACCGCCGACCCGGACAGAAGTCAGCAGAGAGCCGCTTCCGGAGAAGAGGCCCCAGTCCCCGTGGCAGCCTGGACACGGCCCAGAGATGGGACTCCCCCGGGCACGACAAAGTCCTGTCCTCCCCCCAGTCCCCGTGGCAGCCTGGACACGGCCCAGAGATGGGACTCCCCCTGGGCACGACAAAGGCCTGTCCTCCTGACACCGCAAGGCTGTGCCCGAGACCACATGACCCGCGGTGCAGGCCCCGCTCGCCACCGCAAAGTCCTCGGCCAAAGGTAGGAGCGGGACTCGGGCCGCTGTCGGCCAAGCGCGGCTCACGGGGCAGCAGTGGCTCAGGCCAGAGTCAGCGCCTGCCTGGAGGCCCTGGGCAACCACCCCACGCTCAGGGCTCAGGGCAGCAGCACCCCAGAAAGTCCCTGGCGAGCAACACGGGTGCGTGGAGGGAAGGGGGCCACCGCAGCCACGGTAAGAAAGTGCAAAGAAGCAGGCGATGCTCTTTCAATCCTAGGGTTACTGGAACCTGATAGAACCAACACGTCATCACCTCAACCCGGAATCAATGTAAGACATTTTGCTACCGGGCGCTTCCACAGCCGTTTCCCTCGCTGCTGCCCAGAACCTGCGCCCGCGTGGCATGCAGGGACCCCTCACTAGGACAGCCATGTTGCCAGCACTCCGCAGCCGCGTGTGGCCACCGGCTCTGCTGGGCAGCCTGGCTCTAGTGGGTCCTGGTAATACCAGCCTGACGTGCCCGAGGTGGTCATGCCCCAGGCGGTTCTGGAAGGGGATATGGGGACCACCCTGCCTTGCCAGAAGCCGATGCCCAGCCCTGACCAGCTCCCGGGATGAATGGGGGCCAGGACCCCACCGTCCAAGACTGTCTCGGTGGGACCCTTTCCTTGCCCTTGTGGTTTCAGAAACGAAGCCTGCTGTCATCTTTATTTTGAAGAGAGTCCATTTCCTGAGGGTTTTACCTATTTTGGAATGTGTCATAACACTGTATCCCTCGTCTCCTGAGTTAAACTTCCTCTCCTGACTTAAATTCCTCCAGCTGTTTGATAAGCAACAGGCCAGCGTAATCCCCAGGCCTGTCTGGGACCTGCTGGTCAAGCAGAGGCCAGGTCTGGTCCTCTCAGCTCACAGCTCAGACCCCAGACGGGAGGGCGGGTCCTGGCTCAGAGGCGCCAGCTCCCCGCTCCCTGGCGGGGTGGCAGGGCAGGCGGGAGGAGGCCGAGGGCGCAGCCAGGTGTGGGCTCCGCGGCTCGCCCCTCACCTTCTCCTTGGAGATCTTCTGGTGCGCAAGCAGCTTGTAAATGTTCCAGTTGTTCTCAAAGCTCCTGGAAAGAAAGCGGGACAGCTCAGCACAGCACGGCGCCGGCAGCACAGCCTCAGAGGAGCTGGACACGGGTGCGGCCCACCTCCCCACTCTTGTCGCCACGGACCCTGGCTGGGCGCCGTCGCCGGGCGGCAGAGGCCCCCATGGACATGCGATCCCAACAGCCCCCTCCGCAAAGCGAGCGCCCGCTTTCAGCCTGTGTGGTCTCGGCAGCTCCGCAGTGGGGCAGGAAGCGTGGCCACGGGAACCACAGGAAGCAGACCTGCAGGGCCAGTTGACCTGGCCACCCCGGGCCTGCCTCGCTGCTGCCTTCTGTAGTTCCCCCCTCCCCCTTCCCAGGTACCCTCCGTGTGCTGTGTCCCTCCATCCCCCCAGCGCCCTGCAGGCCCCGCCAGCCCCGCGGGGCGCATGCACACAGCCTGCCTACTTCTCGGACGCTGTCGGGCCCTGTCCCTCCTACACGATGCACGCCCCAGGAGGAAGGTCTCAGAGCGCCACCTCTGCAAGTGGGCACGTCCCCGTGTCGGGGGGTGGCCGTGTGCGAGCCACTCGGAGTCTGCTGTGGCCCCACTGAGCAGACAGCTGCCCAACACCAGGCCCTCCAGGCCCTCACCTGCCTCGGAGCTGGATGGCCTCTTCAAACCTCTTCTCATCCATGGCCTTCTGCACCTCCTTGGTCTTAAAGAAAACAAGACGCACAGGCTGGAGGCGGAGGCCTGGCACATGCGTCTGAGCCCAACGCGGGGGCCTGACCCAGACCCGCCGGGCAGCTGTCGGAATCGAGAGGGCTGAGGGGCAAGGGGACCCCACCTGGCCTGCCAGGTCCTCCCCTCCCTGGAAGGGGCACCTGGGCCTCGCTCCCCCTCAGCCCTGGGAAGGGGGTGGGGGGCAGCTGGGGTCTAGGAACGAAGGGTGAGGCTGCTCTGGCCCCCAGACCCACCACCCACTGGCGACCAGCCTGCCCGATCGCGGGGCCCAGGGGAGGTCGCCGCAGGAGGATCTTCCAGGAGGAGCGCCAGGGAGGCCCCTCTCCCGCGCCAGCCCACCTCCCCTGGGCAGGCCCTGCTCTGCCCCCAGCTGCAGGGCCCCCCAAACCTACCGAGCCCCGTGCCCCAGTGTCCCCACAGCCAGCCTCTCTCTGCTCCCCACTCCCCGCTCCCGTGGTCCCTGCTCCAACCACATGAGACATCCCGGGGGGCTCTGGCCACCCACTCCCCCTCCCCCTCCCATCCTAGCCCCAGGGCCCCACCCTGCCCAGTTTGCAAAGCCAGTCTGTCCCACTGGCTCTGGGAAGCTAAGTGTCCTGGGCTCCCCCCAGCTACCCCCACAGGCCCCCCACGGGCTCCCCAGCTCCCTGCAGCTCCCACACCTGTCTCGGGCTTGTCTTACCTTGGGGGCACCTTGGGGATGTGCTCACACCTCCCTCCCCCACCTGGAGGACTGCAGGCCTCGGATACCCTGAGGCCCGCTGGGGGACGCAGCAACACACTCGGAAGGGGGGCCACAACAGAAGGCGCGATGCACCTGCCGCTCGCTCCGTGTAACACGCGCGGAGCAGCAGCCGGGCGCCCAGGGGGACGGGGCGGGGGGCTTGCAGCCGGCCTGCTGGCTGGGCCCTGAGGGGCCTGGAAGGACAGGCAGCGCCGGGGCTGTGGCGGGGAGGGGGCACGAGAGCCCCAGGCACCTCCCTGGGAAGCCCCCGTGCCAGCGCCCGGGCCGGCGGGTACTCACCATCTGCACGCACTCCATGAGGGGCAGCCGCACGGACTGGTTCCCAGAGAGACTGACCACGCAGGCCGGCGTGTCGGGCGTGGCCTCCAGCAGGGCCATCACCGCCTCCATGCCCATCTTGCTGCTCTGAGCAGAGAGAGGGGCGGGCGGGGCTCAGGCAGGCGCAGCCGGCACGGAGCCGGCCCCACGCCACGCACACGCCCTTGGCTCTCAGAGCCACACGCACACGGACACGCACACGCACGCGCACGCACACACTAGAAGCTTCTGGAGTAAGCGATGCTGTTCATTCTAGAAACTGTGACTTAGCATGACCACGTTTCACAGCAGCCCCCCGGCACCATTTCACCGGGTCTCAGCCGGCCCTGCTAGGAGGGCGTGGCCCCTGCACCCCGGGGTTGCAGTGGCAGGGCCAGGGCTGGACTGGGGTTTCCAGAGTTCTCTCCACTATGACGAGGTTTCTCGCTTGGGGCTCCTTTGTCACAGCTGTCCCGGTGTGTGTGCAAACTTGGGCATGGGCTGGTGGGCTGGACCAGCTACAACTGGTCAGGTAAGGACCGCCCTCCATGGAGACAAATCACAAACAGGGGTCCTGCCACGGCCAACGGGAACAGACAGGCGCGCCAGAGACCAAGGCCCGCGGCTCAGCTCGGCGAGACACTGGCGCCCCCAGACCGCGCCCCTGGCCTCCCACACTGGCCAGGTGGGTGTCGGGAGCAGCCCTGGAGAATGCTCCTGTGTCCCTCGGGAACCGTGTGACAGCCACTCTCCTGTAACCCACTGTGTGCAGGTGTCGCCCTGCAGGGCCTGGGCTCGGGGACCAGCGGTAAGCTGTGCCTCTGGAGCCCCTTTGCTGCCGACCCAGGCCTCCGGTGTCTCCACCATCTGCAAAAGCAGCAGGTGAGCCCATTCTCCTGCCACCAGGTGAGACCCGGGCCCATGCTGGCACTCGACAGCCCCTTCTGTGCGCCAGGCCTGGTGGAGGGCCAGTGCTTGACCCTCCGTCCCGAGTGCACCCCTGGGGCCAGACCCCCTCTGAGGCCAGTGTCCCCACTGCTCTGTGTGGGATGGGGACGCACTGAGGCCTCCTGGGAGAGGTTCGGTCCAGCGGCTCCCCCAGGCCCACGCTGGCCACCCGGCCTCACCCAGCACGGTGGCCCAGGCACAGCTCCGGCCAGCCCTGCAGTCTCCAGCCCCCAGTCCCGGCGACCAGCGCCTCACAGGCGGGCGCTTCACCACCTCGGGGCCTCCCTGGCCCTGGGCCCTGGCCCTGTGGGGCTGCAGCATGACTCCCACCCTGCAGAGGATGGGGTGGGACCAGCGGTAATCAGGATTCGGCACCCAGGCCCCGGAGCTGGGCACCCAGGCCCTGGGCCAGACTCAGAACAACCAGACGTCGACCTGCCGCTCACCCGGCCCTCCTTTCCCAAGGTCCTGCCAAAGCCGTCGCCAGGGGGGTGTGGCCTAGGCTGCCAGGCCGTGGTCTCACCCACAAGCACCAGCAGCAGTGAAGAAATGCTCACGCACACCCACGCATGCACACCCACCACGCCACCCGTGCACCAGGGTGATGCCCCACCTACCAGGATGCGGTCGAACGCCGAGGGGGTCCCTCCCCTCTGCACGTGGCCCAGCACGGTCACACGTGTGTCAAAGCCCAGCCTCTGGACCACTAGCTGCTCGTGGGGACAGAGAGGGGGTTCCTGAGTTTGTCGCTCTACCCCCCTGTCCCACCACCCCGTGGCCCCCAGACCTCTCCCCTCCCCCTCCCACCCTGCCTCAGGGATTTCAGGGTGTCAGCTCCCCAGGGGCCCCACAGAGCCAGCCCAGGGTTCACGCCTACAGCCTGAGCGTGTGCACATGTGCTCCTGTGTGTGTGGGTGTGTGTCTCCATGTGAGTGTGTGGGCGTGTGCTCCCACACGTGCCGGCTGCAGGAGCTCATCATGGTCTCCAGCCCCTGTGGGTCAGGCCTCGCCAGGAACTGTGGCAGGAAGCAGAGCGCACAGGGTCGGCGGAGAGGCCAGCTCCTGGCAGCACCTGGCTGGGACTCAAGGACAGGGTGGGCGGCCAAAGTGAGGAGCATGGAGGCTCCCAGGGGCTGTGACCCACTGGGGGATGGGGGCCCAGGGCCCTGGGCAGAACCCGGCAGGTGGGTGCCGCTCACAGGGACGAAGGATTCCCCCCAAAGTTGTTCTGTTATGAATCTGGCACTGGATAGGCAGTGGGCTCCCCTGTCAATGGGGGGCTGGACAGGGGGTTGGGGGTTCCCAGCAGGCGGGAGCCACACCTCAGCTTCAGAGGGGCTGGGGCTTCTCAGGGGTCCCGGCTGCACCCACCCCACATCTGGCAATCGTTAGGGACAAGAAAGCTCCCTCCAGAAGCTGGGGGTGGGGCCCCAGCAAGAGCACTCGGGGACTGGAGATAAAGGGGAGCCCCCTCCCCGAGGCCCCGCCCACCCCACGTGACCCAGGGCCCCGCCCACTCACGTCCTTCACGTAGCGGGACGAGATGGGCTTCCCGTTGCGGTCGATGGCGCCCTCGGCGATGATGATTATGTTCAGTCGGGACCCCCGGCTCCGAGTCTGGGTCAGAGACGCGGCAGGGCTCAGCCGCCAGCCCCAGTCCCCGCCCCAGACACGGCCGCGACCGGCAAGCCCTCCCCGGGGTCCACGCCGCGGGGCTCACATGGGCGGTGGGTGGACTGAGGCGGGTGAACCAGGACCCCGCTGCCCCTCCTGGGGGTAGAGACTGGGCGACTGGAGGACTCCTCCTCCCCCTCCCCGGACTGCGGGAAGATTCCCTCCATCAGCTGGTGATGGACGAATGAGCGTCACTTAACTGTCGCAAAGGCAAAGCTCTTTGGGGATTTGAAAGTACTTTTTGTTTATGTATTTCCTCAACAAATGTTTGTGGGGTTCACTCTGATCCACCAACCTCAGAAGTTTGCCCCACAGCACCCGGAGAGACTTAGAGAGAAAGATAGGGTCACAGCAGCTCCTGCAAGACCCGGGTACAGAGCGGCGGGGGAGCAAGGAGCAGAGGGCTGCCTGGAGCAGGCGGGCCGGTGCAGTGAAGGGAGACAGCCAGAAGAGCCCACACCTCCCTCAGCCTCACTCGCTGCAGCCCAGGAGGTGGGCAGGGCAGAGGGTGACACCTGCACGTAACAGGTGGGGAAACTGAAGCTCAGGGAACCCCGGGGCGGGGTGGGGCGAGGGCCTTACACACAGCAGCAAAGAACCAGAATGTGAGGCCAGGCCTGAGTCCAGGCCACTTCCAGGAAGACCCAGCCCCAAGTTCTCAGCGAGTAGGCCAAGGCCGAGGTCAGCCAGAGACCGTCACCACCAGAGGCCCCCTCTACCCAGGCGAGGCCACAAGGCCACCCTGGGGTGCAAGGACTTCCCCCAAGGAGAGGACAGAGACCTCTGGCCAGCTTCGCTGCCAGGCTCAGCTCGGCCTTACCCTTGTCTTCACTGGGGAAGGTTCCAGAAGCCAGTCATGGCCCTCGGCCCCTCCCACGGCCCTGGGCAGGGGTACAAAACCCTGGGGTGCGAGTGGGAGGTGGGGAGAGCAGCCTCCGGCAGCGGACGGGAGTGATGCCACCACCTCGGTCACATGGGGACACGGACGCTCCAGAGCCAGCCCCGAGCCGCTGCCTCTCCCTCAGGAAACAGGGCCTGGCACTGACCTCCCAGGACAACAGAGCAAACAAAAGGCCCGGCCCCGGGCAGCCTCCACACTCGCCCTGCCCTTGGGCCAGGATGCAGAGGACTTTGGGGGGTAGACAGCCCGTTAGGGCCCCAGACTGGGCCCGAGTGTGAACTGGGGTGCACAGTCTCGGGGGCTCCCCTGCCTTGAATCCAGACCGCAGCCCTCGAGTGCCCCCGACCCCTGATCTGAAGGCACCTCTCCCCCCGTCACAGCCCTCCAGTCCACCACTGGCCTAGCCGAGGGGCCAGCCTATCCTAGCTGGGGACCTCGGGGATGCCCGGGGCAGAGTATCTGCCTGTTCTGTGCCAGAGCCCCCCAGCTCCACCTTGAAGGGCCTGGAGAGCCGCGTTCCAGGCCCCCCGTCTCAGGCACCCCTGCTCATCTCTCCTGGATGAGGCCTCAGACCCCCATCTGCTCCTGCCTCCACAGCCTCTTCTGCTGCATTCACTGCCCCAGGTTCCCGTCCACCCATCTTCACAAAGCCACCTCCCCTTGCCCAGGCTCAGCGGTCGGGGCCTGAGGGAGCCAGCTTGACCATGTCCCTGCTCCCACCCCTCGCCCATGTCAGCACTGACCACGCAGAGCCCAGCCTGGGGCAGTGGTGAGTGTGCCCCTCAGGCCCCTCTGCGCTCCGGGGCAGCCCCCGGGTGTCCATGGGCGTTGGCGCCCCCGGGGGGATATGTGCAGATGCTTGCTGAACCAGAGGGAAGTGAATCGGCCAAAGCTGGCCACGTGACCCCAGGGACACTCTCGTGGGGGACACGGGCCACGCAGCTCACGGCAGGGACCCTGGGAGAAGACCCCCTGGCCCTCACCTCACCCAGCCGCTCACACATGAAGTTCTCCCAGCCGTCCTCGGGTGGCGCCTCAGGGATGAACAGCCAGTCGGCCCCCGAGGCCAGGGCGGACACCAGGGCCAGGTATCTGGAGGGGCAGGAGGGGGAGGGGCTGCAGTAGGTGGGCCCCGACCCGACACCACGGCCCCGGTCCCTGGGTCACAGGGGAGGTACAGCTCTGAGCGGCACCCAGCCCCACAGTCAGGACTCCCCACACCCCGGCTCTCACACCCACAGTGTCAAGTGAGCACCTGCCACGTGCCAGGAGCCCTGGAGGCGCTGCACCCTGCTCCCACTGCCCCGAAGCCCCGGGCCCCCCGGCTGACCCGGGCAGCCCTCTTACCCGCAGTGCCGCCCCATCACCTCCAGCACGAAGGTCCTCTGGTGGCTGTGGACGTGGAAAGGGCAGATGGCATCAGTGCAAAGTCCCCCTGAGCGGAGCTGAGCCACGAAGCCTGGCCTCTCGTACCACACCACCCATGGCCCCAGCTCCGCCAAGGGCGTGCCCAGGAGAGACAGAGGATGTGGGAGCAACAGACAGCCTTGTCATTCCCAGGGCGGCCAAGGCCCTGGGCAAAGGGCCACCTCTGTCTCGGGCTCACGGCCAGCTTCACGCTGGTTTTCACCGATCTTTGCTCCTGAGGCTGAAGGCCATTCACCCTGCTGGGGCCTGGCCGTCACCAGCCAGCAGCCTGAGGACCCCCTGTGGGGTGCACCATTGCCCCAGGGCCGGAGACCTGTCAGAGCCCCTGCCCACCTAGGGCAGGGTGGGGACCAGACCCCCAAGCTCCTCTGCTCACCCCGCTGTAAGTCTCCCCCGACACGGGGGCTGGGGGCAGCCAGTACAGGCTCCTAGGGGTGGAATTACGCTGACAAGCCATTGACCCTGCAGAAGGGCAGCCTCAGCCCTCGTCGGGAGACGGGATCCCAAGCTTTCTTGCCTGGTGGCCTGGCTGGGCGGGGGGCCACAGGCCTCACTCACCTCTGGGCGGTGGTGGTGATGGCGTCGATGACCTCCATGATGCGGTGCAGGGCCGAGTCTGTGCCGATGGTCATGTCGGTGCCGCAGAAGTCGTTGTCAATGGAACCCACCAGCCCGGCGATGCTCAGGTGCGAGTAGGTCTGAGCCGTGCTCTGTGAGATCTTGCCTGAGAAGGAGGAGGCCAGCCCAGCTGCAGCCGCAGCAGCCCCACCCGGCCCCCTTGGCCACAACACGGGGCCCGGAGCCCGATCCCCACCCCCTCCCCCAGCCCACCCGGCAGTGCGGCCTGGTCAGGTCCCCAGGGCCCGCAGCAGGGGTCCTGGGGCCGGGCGGCCGTGGCCGAACCGCTGATTACGGACTTGTCACCCTCTGGGAGACGTCCAGGGGAGCCCTGGAGAGTGCACCCCTCACTTCCAGGTCCCCCACGAGCAGCACAGAACCAACGAAGCTCCAGCAGGTCACTTTCCGACTGGTGACCCCCCAGGACTCTGTGTCTTACGTTACCAAATTTTAACTATCACACTTCTGCAACCTGTGACAAGGCCGTAAGCCACGTTGGGGAATGAATCACTCACAGCGCAGGCGAGTCAGCCTGGGAACTGCCATCCAGCACCGGGAGGACAGCACTGCCTGGGGGTCCCTGACGTTGGGTCCCCACAGGCCTCACTACCGGCCAAACCCGGGCCCGTGGCTCCTGGAGCCACCGAGGGTCCGCCTGGTCTCAGGCCAGGCCCCCACCCCCGGCCAGCAGCCAAGCAGCAGCTCGCTTCCTCTGGTCCTGCCTGTTCCCGGCCCCAGCTGCTCCGCCGCCGACCCACCTTCGCTCACCAGCTCCTCCAGCAGGCTGCCCCACTCGCTGCGGAAGATGTTGGCGCCCGTGAGGCTGCCGTCCCCACCGATGACGCACAGGTTGGTGATGCCACGCTGGACCAGGTTGTAGGCGGCCGCCCGGCGCCCCTCCCGCGTGGTGAAGGCCTTGCAGCGGGCGCTGCCGATGACGGTGCCGCCCTGCACGGAGGAGGGGCAACCTGGGCCAACGGGGCACGCCAGGGGGACCCGGGTACTGGGCAGGGGCGGCCTGGGAGACCCCAAGGAACGGAGGGCCAAGTCCAGGGGCTCCTCGGAAGCCTGGGCAGGTGTCCGCCTCCCCCTGCCCCAACCCCCTGGACTTTCTCCTCACGTGTGCAAGGAGGAGACTGTCCACCGTCAGGCTCGGGGAGCTCGACAGGTAAGGGATGAGCAGGCTCTGAGGTCTGTAAGGCGTGCACACACGCACACATGCACACACTCTGGCCCACACGGCCGGGCACCAACGCAGGGACGTGCCTGGGCAGCTTATGCCGTCGTCCGCGTGCCCCCCCTCCCCTGCCACCGGCTCAGCCTCAGCCCAGGCTCCCCAGGCCCTGCCCACAGGCAGCACTGCCGGCCCCTGCGCTCGGCCAGCTGGTGGGGACAATGTGCTGCTCCCCAGACCACCGAGAGCACCGGGCTGGGCCCCGGGCTTCACGGAAAACGCACATCAGAGCTGGCCCTGGCCCAGCCCAGCCTCCCCTGCGCCCCTCCCCGCTGCCCCCATGCTCTACGCTCCCCACCCGTCTCAACACCAGCCCGCATCCTCACCTGCCCACCTTTCATGCAGCTTCACACCCCAGCTAACACTTGGCCCAAGGCTCCTTCCCCGGGCGGTCTCTCAGGACAGAGGCCACAGCCGTCCTCAGACACAGGCTCAGAGCAGAGCAACGGCTGGGTCCAGGCCTGAGGCGTGATGGCCGCCCTCCCTGGACCCCTGGGGTGGAGGACGAGGCACCCAGGCTGCAGCCCCACCCATGACGGGGTCAGGGAGCACCGCACCAGAGCAGAAGGACACGGGGTGGGGGGCTCTGATGAAGAACAGGGTTGTCTGTGCCCCACTGGACCGTTGAGGGCTCAGCAAACGGGCCGCTCCCACGAGCGCCTGGAGCGCGCAGTCCCTTGGGGACGTCCACCCTGGGCAGGAGGGGTGGGTGGCATGGCAGGGTTGGCTGTGCCTGGATGACCCAGGGTCCAGGCCCGCCGCCCACTGCTCCGCTGACCCATACATAGCGTGTGACGACGACAGGCCTCTTAAATAAGCAGGTATCAGCTAAGGGTCTAGGATACACAGGTGACAGGTGCCCCACAGCGGGCCCTGCTCTGTGGGAGGACTCGGGTCTCCCTACAGAGACCTGGTTCAAAGATCCCCGCTCCCAGGAACCCCTGGCCCCAGCGAGGCGCTCAGCGCCCCGCCCTCAGTAAGTAGGATGACGAAGGGGAAGGCGGGGGAGGCGCAGAGAGGCCGCTGAGGCCAAGCATGCCTCTTCCAGGGTGTCCTCCCCTCCCAGAGCCCGCAGCTGGAAGCTGAGACATTCCGGGGCCATCGCACCCCCACGACCTCCCACTCCCGCGTCCCCAAGGCGGTCGGACGACAGTCAGCCGGGAGCCAAGCCCCTGCGGGATGGCGTGTACGGCTGCGTGCCTGTGTGTGCGTCTCTGTGTGTGTCTGGTGTGTGCACCTGTGTATCCCTCTGTGTCCCTCTGTGTGCCTGTGTGTCTCTATGTGTGTGTCTCTGTGTGTCTCTGTGTCCTCTGTGTGTCCCTGTGTGTCTGTGCGTGTGGTGTGTGCACCTGCACATCCCTCCGTGCGTCCCTCCACGTGCCCGTGTGCATGTCCCCGGTGCACACGCGTGCTCATGGCGGGAAGGGCCGCGGGCCTCACCAGCTGGATGATGTTGGAGACGCTGAGCCAGTTGGCTGGCCTGATGTTCTCGCCCCCTTCCACGAGGCCCTCGTAGCCCTGAAAGTGAGGGGACAGGCGTGAGACGGGCGCCCACAGCAGCAGGACACGTGGAACCTCGGCCAAAAGCCCATCTGGCAGGAAGTGGGCCCAGGGGTCCTGAGCACAGAGGCCCCTCCACCCCCAGGGCCTTGGGGGACGAAGCCAGGGTCTGCTGGGGTCAGGGGTGTCAGGGGAGAGGCCGGGGTGCCCAGACGCCTCCCAGGCACGATCTGTGGGGCCTGCAGGGAGCGCGTTACAGACAGAGCACGACTTGCCCGGCAGCGCTCCTGTCGCAGGCAGCCCTGGACGTATGCCCACGAGCCGCAGCTGGGTCACCGCGCCCGGGTCAGAACCAGATCCAGCCCAGCGCCCGGCAGCCCCTCTGCCTTCCAGGACCCTCCCTGCCAGAGACACCCGCTGCCCTGCCTCCCAAGGGTGCCGATTAGATGCGGAAATGACAGCACAGCGTCCCATCTGCGTCCCCCCTTCGCGCGGCCGGGCATCTGCGAGGCCCCACGAGGTCACGTGCGACTGTGTCTGCGCTCGCTGCCGTGCGGGAGTCCCCTGCGCACTCCCACAGTCTGTGACCTGTCCACCGCTGATGGACTCTGGAGGGATCCGGTTTGGGGCTATTGGAAATAACGCTCCGTATCTCCCGGGAAAGGACTCCCGGGTCACCGGGTGTGCAAGCAGCCACCGACAGCGCTGCCACAGTGCCCAGAGGCACCTGTGGCCACCCCGTCCATCAGCAACGCGGCCAGGGCCTCAGAGCGCCCCACCCCCGCGCCGGCCCTTGCTGGTCTCCATCCCGGAGGCTGGATGTGGTCCCTGCAGGGCGTCTCCCATCCCGGAGGCTGTATGTGGTCCCCGCAGGGCTTCTCCCCTGCGTTTCCCTGACGACACATGCTGTTTCGGGTATGACGTAAGCCACAGGCCACCTGGACAGCCTCTGCGAGGGCGACCATTCCAGCGTCTTGCCTGTTTCTGTTCTCGTGTGGCCAACCCCTTCTTATTAGCAGGAGCTCTTTATAGAGTCTGCAGAGAGGACACGTGCTTTCACAAATGGTGAGAAGACGAGGCGCCACCGAGCTGCAGTGAGCGGGGCCACCTCCTCCATGCAGCCCTCCCAGCACCTCCAACGAAGCAGCACGAGCCACCGCCCCTGCCTGGGTTCGGCTCTGCGACCCGCCTCCTCCGTTCCCACACTTGGCATTAGATCAGCCGGGGCCTGCAGGGTCCTGGGCAGCGGGGCCTGGGGGCGGGCGGGGCAAATGCTCCCACCCCTGGGAATAGAGGGGGAAGCAGCTGGGAGAAGGGCCTCAGGACGAGACCCCCGTCTAAGGGATCGCCAAGCTACCCTCCCCAGCTCAGGCCAGGCCTGGCCCCCCCTCGCCCCCTCTCTGTCCGGTCAGGAATTTGGCCACTAGGACACCCCCCCCCGCGCCCACCCCCTCCCCACAGAGAAGCAGGAAAGTAACCTGAAAACCCACAGCCGCTGTCCAGAGCAAGTGACAAAAGAGGCCACCCTGAGTCCGCAAGACCCCAGCCCCACGGTGCTCCCGGCTGGAGTCAAAGTCTCACAGACACAGTCCTCCTTTCCTGGCCTGGGAACCTTCTGGAATGTCTTTGCACACCTCCAGCCACTTTGTGTCACCTCTCCCCTCTCCCCTCCCGACTCCTCTGCCTTCTCCACTCCCACCTGGCTGGGCACCCAGGCAGCCTCAGAACTGGCCGCAGGCCCAGGGCACTTCCAGCAGCCATCCTTGTGGCAGCTCTGAGCCCGCAGGTGCAGTTTGGGCTGTCACGTGAATAAGGTAGCCCCGTTCACTGAGCCCTTCTCGGCGCCAGGGGCCGTGAAAAGTGCCTTAACTCTCAGCGTTGCATTAGCTTTTCGCCCTAACATCCCCACTTCATAGAAGAAACCAAGGGTCAGGGAGGTGAAGGGATGCCCCTGTCACATGTGTACAACCTCCAGGAGCCGCACCCTGGACCCACCCCGCCCTGATTGGAGACCACTTGTTCACAAAACTAGGCGACTCCCTGAAGAATCTCACCCTGTCCTTCAGAAGGTTCTAGACCACTATCAGGGCATGGGTTCCACCTGCCCAGCTCCTGAGGCCACAGGTCCTGAGACTCTGAGATGTGCTCCTGAAACATGACCTAAGGCTCTGCAGGGTCCTGGTCGTCCCAGCCTGGCCTGAGGGTCTGGACTCTGCAGGAGGGAGGGGTCTGCAGAACTGCCCGCCCATCTGTTCACTCAACAGCCCCATACAGACAAGGCTGGGGAGGAAGGGCCGGACCTGGACCAGAGTGAAGGGACGGGACGTGGACACACCCAAGGTGGGAGGAGGGAAGCTCTGGGGAGAGCAGAGCAGGTTGGGATGTGCTACACTTTAGCAAAGAGTGAAAACAAAGTAACACAGTGGGAGAGAACTCTAGGACGTGTGTGTGTGTGTGTGTGTGTGTGTGTGTGTGTGTGTGTGTGTGTGAGAGAGAGTGTGTGTGCGTGTGTGTGTGTGAGAGAGTGTGTGTGCGTGTGTGTGAGAGAGAGAGTGTGTGTGCGTGTGCGCGTGTGTGTGTGTGTGAGAGAGAGAGAGTGTGTGTGTGTGCGCGTGTGACCTGGGGGGACAGGAACGGGGGCTAAGGCGAAGGGCGCACCAGCTTTAGCCGGAGCGAAGTGGCACCATGATTCTCTGCTGCTTTGCGCAAGGAGCCCGTTTTCTGCTGTCACGAGGGTAGCTCGAGCTCGGGTTAGGTGATGAGGGTACAGGAGGGCTGGGCGTCGGAGGACGGGTGGGGCTGAGGTCCCGGCCTCTGAGGAGAACAGCAGCTTCACACCCTCCTCTCTCTCAGGGGACGCGCCCACCCGTGAGCACCCAGGCTGAGGGCGGACTCCCCATCCACACCCCAGAGCCTGGCAGCCCTGCCCCATCCGCCTTCCTCACCCCTCTCCCCGCACTGCTCCCTGCCAGAGCGTGGGGCGACGACCGCCCTGCCCGCACCTTACCTCGTAGATGAGGAAGACTTTGGCTCCCACGTAAATGCCCATGCGCGTCACGGCTCGGACGGCAGCATTCATGCCTGCGAAGGGGGCCGGGAGACGCCCGTCAGTGGAGACGCGGAGCGTGGGCGCCTTGGACCGTCCCTCCCACATCTCGGGGGGCGCCGAGCCAGGACTCCGAGTCCAGCACGGGGTGAGCCCCCCCGCATTGTATCGGCTTCGCACTTGGAAATAAGCCGCCCCAGAGTTAAACCGGGAAGGTCCCCGCCAGGGCCCGACTCCTCCTGAGCCCGGAGCACAGGCACCTGCAGACGTGCGACATCGCTTCCGGCCGCATCCCCGCCACCACGCTCACCTGCGGCCTCTGCTGCCCAGCACAGCCCCCCTCCCCGGCCCCCAGGGCCCTGGGGGAATCGCAGCAGGTCGGGCACATGGCCCCAAGATGCAAAACGGGGCAGGTGGGACGCAGGGGCAGCCGCCTCCCAAATGCGCCTGCAGCCGCTGCTACTCTTGGGCCACCACCCCGGGGGGCAGCTTGGGGAGCACCCTGAGGTCGGTGCCTGTGGCCCTGGGGCCATGAGCCCCCTGCCCCTTGGCCTGCAGGGTGGGCTCCGCGAGACAGGAGAGGAGGACAGCACCCCCTAGGGCCAAGTTCAGGCTCCTGGGGGTCGCACGGCCCCAGTGCAGCTGAGCGGGCCGGCGCCCCTGCTCCCCAGCTGCAAACATACGCCGGGGCCACCAGGCTCAGCGGGTCACCTCTCCTCCCTGTCCCCCAGCCCTGGGACCCCCAGCCCCCGTCTACAGCAGCTACCTTACAGTATAGGCTTCCTGGAAAGACGGACACTCATGGGGCAGGACGAGGGGGCAGGAAATGCTCAGAAGAGCCCAGAGGAACCTCAGTCCCCTTCCCTCGTGGTCAGTTCTGAGACTGAGACCCAGAGAAGGGAAAGGTGTCCCTGAGGTCCCTCCACGGGGGGCCGTCCCGCTGCGTCCCCGGGGTCTCGCACACGGGCTCACAAGGCACAACGTGAAGAAGACCCCATGGGCAGCCCCACGAGAGACTCGAGCACCAGCAGTGGCCCACACCGTGGCCCTGCCCTGCCTGTGGGTGGGACGCGGCTCCGCCCGGGGCTGCAGCTGCTGCGGGCCTGGACAGTGCCAGGTCAGGGGCCCTGTGCGGGCACCTGGGGCGGGCCCAGCCTCCACACTGACTGCCACCTGGCTGGGGCCCAGGGACGGGCGAGGGGCAAAGGGTTGCGGGGGCAGGAGCCTGGAATCAGTGGCTGTAAGCGATTTGCCCCAAACCTTCTTGCCGTCACAAAAGATGTCAGTGGTTTGATACAAAGGGGCAGGCAGGGCGGCCCCCATGCACTCAGAGCGGAAGACAGTTGGCCAGTCACCTGCCCTGGGCTCCAGCCTCTGACCCTGGGTCTGGAGGCTGGATCGCGGACATGACCTGCACGTGGTCTGGCCCAGGACCGCCCCTGCTCCCCCGGCTTCCTCCTGGTGGTCCTGGCCCGGAGCACATATACATCCCGTGGTCTGTCCCTAAGCTGTGAAAGCCTTTCCCTGGAGGCGGCGGGGCCCCAGCCAAGGGTGGCCGAGGCCCCAGGAGCCCTGGCCCACCCCCGGGTGCTCTGAGCTGGTGGACGGGCAGTGCCCATCAGCTTGGGTGTCCTGCGGGAGTGCCGTCACCCCCAGGGTCCCTCGTAGCTTGTGTGGTCCACAGGGTGACCCTGACGTAAAGACTCTCGACCTTTACCGTACTTACACTAGTCTCACCCCGTCTCCAGCCTGGAAGGCGGGCCCAGGGGGAGCCCGTAGCTCCCAGAGGACCGTGGAGGGCTATATAGCATATGGGCACCTCAGGAAGAGCCCAGCGGGCAGAGCCTACCCCAGTGCAGGCTCACGGCACCGGGCTCCCAGGAAATCAGCCCACTGTCACTGCCCCCATTTTGCAGATGAGAAACCGAGGTCCCAGAGGGAAGGCAGGGGAGCTGCTGGAACCCCGGCAGGTGAGGGCAGTGCCAGGATGTACCCTGGACCCTCCTTGGGCTCGGCAAGCTGCCCTGTCCCCAGCCAGCAGCCGAGGCTCCTGCTCTCTGACGTCCAGAGCCAGGGACTCCCGGGGCCGAGGTGCCCAGATGTCACGGCTGGCAGAGCACAGAGGCCAGAAGGGCCCTGAGCTGGCCACACTCACAGCTGACACACCTGCCTTTAGCGAAAGAACCCCATTTCTAAAGAAATCATAAAAGTCTCACGGCCCCAAAACGAATGGAAGTGGGGTTTCAGTGACTGCAGTTAGAGGTAGGAGCCCAGAGAGTGTACCCCACCCCCACCCCCAGACAGCCCGGCTGCCCCAGGAACCGGATCCGAAGGGCTGACAGTCCTGCTGCCCGAGGTCAGGGGCCTCGAGCTGCAAGCTCCCTGCCCTGCCTGCCCTCGCTGGCGGGGGGCAGGGCAGGGGCACGGAGGGACATGAGACAGCTGCAAAGCTGCCCCCCCGGCCCCCAGCAGGCCCTGGTCCTGCAGAAGCATTCGGCCGCCTCTGGGGCCTTGGGCAGCCCAGGCTTTCCACCCTCAGGTATCTGCCTCCCTGGCTGCCCTCGCCGGGGTGAGGCCACTGTGGGCTCACTGCAGGCTCAAGTCCAAGCCCCACCCCCTGGCAATTGGAGGGAGGCCAGCAGTTCCGGATGGGGCGGTGGGAGGGGTGGGGGCAGTGGCTGGAGACCCAGGGACTGCAAAGGGCCCCAGGCTTAGGGTAGTGTGCTCAGTCTTGTAGAAAAGAACAAATGACCATATCACAGGAAAACTCTTCAATCTTAGAATGGAATTGTGCCAGCTACCATGGATACGGAGGCCTGAGGGCGTGGGTTTCCCTGTAAACCTCACTGTAAGCTGCCTTCCTGAAAGGGCCTTTTTTATTGCCCTTTAATCTGCTTTTCTTTCTCAAAATAAACCCAGGGTGGCAGCCACAAGCCCCACGGGGCCAGAGGAGCAGGGAGGAGAGCAGCTGCATCTCCCGCTGAAGGAGCAGCCCTGGACCCTCCACTCCACCCTCCAGCCTCCGATGGGCCAGGGACACTGCAACAGATGACTTCCTGCTGGAGGAAACCGACACCACCGCCAAACTGATGTCCGAAGGCGGATGCCTTTGTTCATAAGGTGACTTCTCTTCACAGTTAGCTTCCGGGAAAACAAAATGGACAAGAAAGAGGTGATCCTGGCAGGACACGGGGCCCCGCAGATCCACACTTAGCATCAGTCGATGTGAAGACTTGGAGCCAGGCTGGGACATAACGAGATGGGGGCGGTCCTCACCCGCAAATACAGGACATCCACGTCCACACGGATCCACCCAGAAAAGGCAGGTCCTGCGCGTTACTGAGGGACAGGGTGGGGTCCGCCCCAGGGGCGAGACCGAGGCGTGGAACCAGTGGGCGGCGGGGCTGTGTTATAGTCTTCTAGTCACTTTTGCACAAAGTAACATCCGTAACGACCACCTTCCCTCAACGCACGGACACCTACTCCCCGCCAACGGGAAGGGCAGAGGACGCGACTTTCAGGCTGGCTGGAAGGAACCCGCCAGGTGGCTTGTCTTGTTTACAGAAGGGGAAACTGAGGCCCGAGGGATGTGCTCGGGTCAAGTCAGAGAGCTGGTCGAGGCCGGCCCCACAGGGACAGGGTCTGCCCGCTCCCCGCCGCCCACTGCCGCGAGGCTGGCTGGTTTCCACTCACTCCAACAAATGCAGACCTGAGCCTCGGGGAGGCAAGTGCAGGTCGGCGTGGGTGCCCATTCTCCACGGCGGCTGTCAGCCCCGTGCCCACCCGGGGGTGCCCGCGGGGAGGGCCCGCCCGGCACCATCAGGTCCCTAGAGGTCGGCCTCTATTTGGAAGGCAGCGGGGGCCCCTGAGGGCAAACCGAGAACCCATCGCCTGGAGCCAGCTCCCCGGAGCAGTGCCGGCGAGAGGGTGCAGGCCCGGCGCGGACACCCACAGGCTGGCCTTCAGAACTTACAATACAGAAAGGCTCCCTGCCCCCCAGAGAGCCAGCTGGCCCTGGCATCTTCCCCCAGGCATCAGCCCGAGCCCTAAACTGGGGAAGCTTGCAGAGCCCTCCTCTCTCGCAGCCCCGATCAGAAAACCACGTTACAGCCAGGGGTCTAGGGAAGCGAGGACACAGCGCGAGGTGAGGTGGCCGGCCCAGCCGGCCGTGCGCTGACGGCCACACTCCTGGGTGTCCAGGAAGCACTGCTCGTTCCACGTGGGGCATCAGGGCCGGGCTGGCCAAGGGGAGACCTACAGGTCATACAGGCTTTGCCCTCCACTGGCCCGCCGGCCCAGGCCGGCAGCCTCTTCCTCCCTGGCCCTTCAGCTGCCCCACTGATCCCTCGTCCTGTTTAGTCTGTGCCACCCACCGGCTCGGCTGCCCTGCGTCAACGTGCATTTATCTTTCCCAGCCCTCCCTCCAGTGCTGTTGTCTCCATGGTACAGACAGGAGCCTGGGTGGAGACCCCTGTGCCTGCTCGAGCCGGGGAGCTGGGGCCTCGCAGAGGAAGGGCCTCTCTAAAGAGGCGGGCCCAGCCTCTCAGGAAGTGTCTGTCCCCCACATACCAGGCCCTTCCCGTGGTCCAATCTCACAGGGCAATGCTTCCCCAAGACCACTCTCCTCCCACCTGGCCCCGGCCCACTGGCCATGCCCTAAGAGGGAGACGCCGCTGCCCAGCAACAGGCAAGCGCTCTGGCCACGCGGGGCTGCGGACGTGCAGCGGAGCACACTGTCCGCCCGCCAGACCAGGTCCGGAGGGCTCAGCCCAAACCCGCACAGGCCGGGACGCAGACAGTGGCTGATGTCTCTGCCTTCCTGGGCTTGCTCCTGTGAAAGCTCCTTCTAGCTCTTCCCTGCTTCTGAGCGGGGAGCGGGGAGTCGGGGGCCTGAGGCAGGGAGAGCAATTCTGCGTCTGGACTTTCTGCTCTGGAAGGAGGCAGATCAGGCCCGCCTGTGCAGCCTGAGAGTGCCGGCTAGGCTCCTTCCAGGCCTGCTTCCTGGGCTAATTAAGGTGTCTCCTGAGGTTCAAGGTGTGTGGCGTGGCCATGCGGCCAAGCCCGACAGGTGCGGCACTGGCCATCCCAGGCCAGAGGCGCTGAGGAGAGCAGCAGTCAGGACAAGTCCAGGGCACCAGGACAGACCCCAGGAGGGGCACTCATCTAGCTCTGCCAGGTTCCAGCTGCAGGACCCTGGGCAGGTCAGCAGGAAGGCCACCACCTTTGGCCTCCCCTGTACAAGGGGGGTGGGAACAGCTCTGCACTAAAGAAAATGCCCCAGAGCCGCCCTGGAGGCAGTGGTTTGGGGGAAGCACGGTGCCCCCGAGTCGTGTTTCATAACGACCTGGTTAGAGCCGGGGCTCTGTGGGCCTGCGGGGACCTGCCCATCCTTCACTGGCCTCCGCTCAGCTTGGCCTCCAGGAAATGGTGCTTCTGAGACGCGCCACCGGGAAGGGGTGCGGGGAGGGCCTGGGGTCGGCAGGAGCGGCGGCCGGCGAGAGCACCCTGTCCGGCCACGGCCGGCAGCGCGGACACACCCCCGGCGGGCCGGACGCAGAGGCCGTGATGGGCGGCACGTACGCGGGCCCCCGGCGCGCGGGGGCGGGTCCAGGACGCGGACCGGGAAGGGGACTGGGGCTGGGACGGGGAGGAGGAGGCGGGAGGCGCAGGCCGGGAGGAGGACCTGCTGACCGCGTGCCCCAGGTGCCGCCGAGGGAGCGGGAGCGCCCCAGCGACCCGGGGACAGCAGCACCCCCGCCCGCCGGCGACCGGCCCCCGCGTGCCCGCGCCCACCTTGCGCATCGCCGCCGCTGGTCAGCACGCCGATGGCCTTGCCGGCCCCGGACATCCGCAGCTTCTCCAGATCCACGGTGGCCATGGTGGCGCCGACTCGGCCGCACTCGCTCTCCCGCCGCGCGCCGCCGCTGTCGCTGGCCCCGCCCCGCGCCCTGCGCTCCTCCCCGCGCTGTGTGATGTCACCGCTGTCCACGCCGGGGCGGGGCCGACGTGCACCCGGCACCTGGGCGGCGGAACTGGGGCTCGACCGGCAGCGCCGGCCTTTTTGTTCAAGTTTCTAAACCTGTTCAGTCTAACAAGGGGCGCGTTTATTGAGAGGGCGGATCGCGGCCGTCTGGGTCTGTTAGTCACACCCTGCGGCAAAGTTGGTCAAGCACGGTGACCAGACCTGAGGGAAGGCCAGCCAAGGGAGGCCAGACGAGTCCCATTGCCAATCGCTGCCTGCCCGGCTTCCCGCAGGAATTTCTTATTCCGGGCGCCGGTCTGTTTCAACTTCGTTCATTGCAGGAGCCACAGAAGCTCCACCCCGACTCGGGGCACCCCTGGTGATGGCCCTCCCACCCGGAGGGGTGCATGATTAAGATGCGAAAAGAGTTAAGAGGAAAACCAGCCAGCATCCATCCATCCATTCATGTATCCCTTACTTCAGTAAATGTTTGCTGGACCCTTGGAAACCTGCACACCAGGCATCGTGTGGGGTGGGCACCTGGGTCAGGACAGGGGGCTCTACCTTGGGTGGTCAGTGGGTCAGTCACTCGGAGCCATGAAGCCCCTCCCCGGATCCAGGTCCCCCGAAAGGTGGGACTCCAGCCCAGTCACCAAACAGACTGGACCCTTGCCCTCAGGAAGACTGGTCGCTGGTGGGAGAGTCCCCGTGAACCAAATCGGGGGCTTTGAGGAAAGGCATCCATCGTGACAGGGCCCAAGACACCCAGTGGGGTGGGGGGCTGGGGGTGGGGGTGGGTAACATTCTGTTTCTTTCTTTGAATTAATTAATTTACTTATTTATCTGGCTGTGCTGGGTCTTAGTTGCGGCACACGGGATCTTCACTGTGGTGTGCAGGGTCTTTTTTTTTTTAGTAACGGCATGCGGACTCTTCGTTGCGGCATGCGGGATCTATTTCTCTGACCAGGGATCGAACCCAGGCCCGCTGCCTTGGGAGTGCGGAGGCCTCACTGCCGGACGGCCAGGGCAGTCCCGGTAGCATTCTGTTTCTTGAGCTGAGTGGTGACACAGGTGTGTTTGCTTTATGAAGATTCAACAAGCTGATCACCTATGATTTGTCCCTTTTTCTTTATATATGTTATGTTCTAATACAAAGTTTACGTAAAAATATTCCATTGTTGGGGCAGGGGGAGGTATGAGTCAAAGGGAGAGAGTTTCAGTTCTGCAAGACGAGTGTGTCCCAGAGCTCACTGTCCAGCCTGGTGCTGGAAGTTAATCATTCTGTAGTGGACACTTAACACGTGGCTCAGAGGGTACACGTATGTTAAGTGTTCTTATCACGGGTAACAGCAAATATTTCTTAAATTATCACAGAGGGGAAAGAGGGACCTCATTAGTCACAGCTGTGCCAAGTCAGGCACGGATAAGAATCTGGGCCACTTGACTGACCTCCTGGCCTCAGGTTAAGAAGATGGAAGAACGGCAGGGTCTCACAGGCAGCCCTCAAACTCTCTGTGCCCCGAGGCCCCCCGCCCTTGTGGGGATGGTGGCCTCACCACTGGGCACACAGCTGTCGTCCTGGGGTCTCTGTCACCATCAGTTTCCCTTGTGGACTTCGTGGTCACCAGCTCCCAAATCGTCCTCCTTCGTTTGGGCAGAGCGCACATCCTCCAGGAGGTTCCTGAGAAAGGGCTCAGGGCGTTTTGAGAGTCTGCCTGTGTGAAATTGGCCTTTCTCGACCCTGTTACTTGATTGAAGACTTGGCTGTGTATAGAATCTTGGGTGAGAAATCATCGTCCTACAGAACTTTGAAGGTGGCTTCCATCATTCCTTAATTCCAGCGTTGCAACTGGGAACTCAAAGCCGCCTGACTCCTCTGTGTGTGCACAGGACCCAATATTTCCTCCCTAGAAGCGTGCAGGACCTTCCTTTCCCGGGGGCTGTGAAATTCCACAGGAAATGCCTTGTGTGGGTCTGCTTCCCAGTGCGGGGCCGGGCACGTTCTGGGTCCTTCCACGGCAGCAGTGCGTGTGTTCTATCCAGGACAAGTTCCTGCACCATTTCCCTGACAACTCTTTCCTCTCTGTGTTTTCCCTTTACTCTTTCTGGAACTCCTGGTATTTACATTTTGATATCCTATCCTTTACTTTCCATTTTTAGAAAGTCTTAGCTTGACTCTCCTATTTTATAACTCATTCTGCTGTATGTTCAGAGAGCTCTCTTCAGCTTGCCATGCCAACCTGGTGTAAAGTTCTCCGTCTCTGCCATCACGGTTTTGATTTCCAAGAGCTGTTCCTTTTAACAGAGTCCTGTTCTTGTTTCATGAATACAGGGCCTATCTCTCTAAGAATCTTACAGTTTTATTTGGCTTTTTTAACATTCATTCCTCCCTTCTGAGTCTCTCTTTTCATCTGTGCTGCTTTCTTTCTTTCCTTTTGTCTTGGTCTCTGCCATCCTAGGGGCTTCTCCAATGTCTGGGAATCCTTGGCTATCTGTGATTAAGAGGCAGAACCTCTGAATGTGACAGGTGACTTTTGGTTGTTGAGTCTTGCTGTAGGGTAAGCTTTCTGGGCCATTTTTTGGGTAACCCCCAGACCTGTTGTCCCTTTAGGTTGGTCAGATTCAAGAAAAGAATCTTCCAGCCTCTTGTCTGGAGGGAAGATCGCGTCAGGAGCTGGAAGAGGGGCTGGAGCCCCTCATGCAGCCTTCTGCCTGGTGATCCGGCCACACACTTTCCGTGTGGACCCCTTGCCTCAGTTGTTTATGGCATTCCCAGGTCCAGACACTCTGCCCGACCTCCAGAGTAGAGCTCCTGACCTCTGCTGGGGAGAGGGACGGATGGGGGCTCCATTTATCAGCCAGCCTGACCCCTCCTCTCCCACCAGGCTCATCGGCAGAGGCCTCAGGACCACTCAACGCTTGGCCGGGGGGGCCGTGTTTATGCCCGGTGTTCTTCTGGAAGACTGTGAGGGGTAGATCAGCTTGCATACTGGGGGACCCCGACCTTGTACTGGCCCAGCCTGGTTGTTCGCACCAGCTGCAGAAGCACTTCAGATCCCAGCCCGTCAACCACAGGGACGACCCTTTCCTGGGCTCCAGCCACAAGCCTTGTCTGCCTGCTCCAGGCTCATAGTCTGTGAGCCCAGGAGACACAGGTGCTGCACATGGGGTACAAAGTTGGACAGAGACGCGGGGAGGGGACCCTGCCCAGGGAGGTGGGGGACGGGGGGACCATGAGTGCCCAGGATGGCCCCTCCGGGAGAGAGGCAGGGCAGACCTGGCTGAAAGCAGAAGAGGGGTTTTGATCATCCCCCTGCAACTCGGGAGAGCCTTGAAGGCCTGTGGTCTGGGGTTTGTTGGCTTGCTTTTCCATTTTGCCGTGGAGGATTCAAGCGTGCACGTAGGCAGAGAGAGCAGTACGATGGCCCCGTGCCTCCCTCTCCAGCCCCCCGAATGTTCCGTTCAGGACAGGGTAGGAATTTCAGGAAGACGGCTCTGAGTGGAGGATGGAGGGAGGGGTGGCGCATCTGGGGGCCGTGAGCAGTGATGGCTGTTCTGGGGCGGTGATGGTGGAGAGGGGACGGATCTGTGAGGTGTCTGAGAGGCCCAGCAGGAGGGTCTGGGCATGCAGGTGGGGAACGAGGGAGGGGGGGCTCCTGCACCCCGTGGGAGATTGTGGGGGACAGTCGGGGCTGGAGATCCTCTTCCCCCTGACACCCTGCCCTCCCAGGCGCCCCTTTAGCTCTGGAAGCACTGCTGCTGCACCTGTCCCACCCCCATCCCCAGGGCTGCCCCTGATCGCCCCGTAAAGTAACGTCCACCCCCCTTGGAATGACGGGAGCCATTTACAGAGAACAGGGTGCCGGGAGTTCAGCCTCCTTGGGATGGAACGCTGCCCTTCAACACACGGGAGGAAGACGCCCTTGGCTTTCCCACATCCGCTTGTGCAGGGATCCGTGAAGCCAGGCAGCCGGGGCTCGGGGCAGAAGGGGGGCGACTGCCCAGCCACGGAGAGCACAGCCTGGCCACCTGCTGCACCAGCCCGCCTCAGCCAGGACGCAGGGACACGGTGGCAAGCAGCTGTGCCTTTTGGAATTCATACTTTTGAAGTTATTTAAAAATCAACCAGAGTGACAGAACAGTTTACAAAGGAAACATCATCTCTAATCCTTGTTTCAACACAACTGTCTTCATCTTTTCAGTGTTTTCTTCCAGTATTCCCTCTATATACACACACATACACGCATATACATACACATGTACGTATGCATGTCTACATGCGTGTACACACATATATTCATACGTACGTCTATGTACATATGCTCTCTGTTTATATATATTCTGTCTCTATATATAAATATACACTTTCTAAATGTATATTATATACAGGGGACCCTTGAAAACAAGTGTCTGAACTGTGGGTCCATTTATATGCAGACTTTTTTCAATAAATATATTGGAAAAACTTTTGGAAATTTGTGATCATTTAAAAAAACTTGCAGACGAGCCACATAACCTAGAATTATCCAAAAAGTTAAGAAAAAGTTAAGTACGTCATGAATGCATAAAATATATATATACATACATATAACATACAAAATACACGTTAATCAACTGGTTATGTTATTGGTAAGACTTCTGATCAACAGTAGACTGTTAGTAATTAAGTTTCAAGGGAGTCAGAAGTTATGCTGAGATTTTCAACTGTACAGGGGTAACTCCTGAGTTTCAAGGGTCCACTGTACATACTCTGTCATAGATAGATAGGTAGATAGATAGGAAGAGAGATAGACACTTTCTAAGTACACACACACACGCTCTCTATATAAAGAGATAAGGAGATGGACGGACAGAGTGTATGTACACATGCATGCACTCTGTGTGTATACATAGATTTTACATACATATAAATATAATTTAATAAGTATCTTGTTCACCCACCGGGCTTGTGTTTATCATTCTTATTGTCTGTCTGGATAAC